GAGGTCGATCCCCTCGAAGCGATCATTATCATCCTTATTTCTCCCCTTTCTTCCACGATAAGATTTTAGGGTCTTATCAATTGGTATCAGAGCGACGATAAGAATTTAGAGTCTTATCATTTGGTATCAGAGCGACGATAAGACTTTAGGATCTTATCATTTGGTATCAGAGCGACGATAAGACTTTAAGGTCTTTTCATTTGGTATCAGAGCAACGATCCTTGGCGCAGCCCACCGCAACCTTGCTTCCCTTCTTCCCCACCACCACTACAAGGCAACTCTTTCTTCACCGCTGCCACTATTTCCTCAGCTGCTCGACCACCGTCGCTGCTTCTCCCCGGCCAGCGACCTTCGACCACCGCTTGACCACTGCTCGACCTCCTCGCTGCCCCATCTCGTTCAAAAAAAAAAAAACAAGAGAGGAAGAAAAAGCCGCAGCCACCCCTGCGTCCCCTGCTTCAGGCCAACCCACCCGCCGCTACTGCTCTCCGGCCAGCGCCCACCATCGCCCCGCTTCTCAGCCAGAGGCCACCGTCGCCCGTCGCCTCCCACACGAGCCACCACCGCTGCCTCCTTCTCCACCGCTGCCCGCCTCCCCTTGCGTCGCAGCGCAACCGCTCGACCTCTCCTCGGCAATCGTTGGTAACGTTGCTCCCAACCGCGCCACCACCGCTGCCTCTCCACCGCCGCCCGCCTCCCCTTGGGTCGCAGCCACAACCGTCGGTTGTCGCCCTCCTCGCGGCGACCGAAACAAGGCAACTCACGGATTGCCCTTGTTCCCAGCCGCGTCACCACCACTTTTCCCAGCCGCCTCACCGTCGCTCGATTACCCGACCAGCAACCTCTCCTCCTCGCGTCCCCATCTCGCTCGAGCGAGAAGGACCGCCGGTTGCCGCAGCCCCTCCTTGCAGCGGTTGCAGAAATAAAGCTTCCTTTGTTGCCGCAGCCCCTCGTCGATCGCAGCCACGCCTCGAGCGCCGTCGCCTTCCAGCCGACCCACCACCGCTGCTAGCCACCGTGCGGCGACCGCCGCTCCCCCTGGCTCGAGCGAGAACGACCGCTGCCACTCCCCCTTGCTTTGCCCCCTTGGTGACCGAAACAGGGCAATCCTCTTGCTGCTGCGAACGTCGATTGCCACCACCGTCACCGCTGCTGCCCAACCAGCGACGACGCCGCTCGCCGCCCAACCTGCCACCGTCGTTTCCTATTTTCCACTACAGCCTCAACCTCGGCAACGCCACCGCAGCCGCCCTCCAACAGCACACGCAACAAGCTCTTGTGCAGCCACTTCAACCTCGGCAACGCACGCACCGACTCCTCTTCTCAACCTCGGCCGCTTTAACGACACCGTCACGTCCTCAACCGTACGCGATCCCTCGGCGTCACCAACGCCTCCTTCCGTAGTGCGGTAGAGACAGAGCAACGCTGCCTTCCATCCGCACCGTCGTAACCACCGTAGCGACAGGCCCTTGGCAACGCTGCCCCCAGCCGCACCACCATCGCTGCCTCCCAGCCCTCAGCAGTAGCGATCCCTCCACGTAGCGACCACAGCAAGCATCGTCGAACGCAGCTACATCCCTGCATCCTCGCAGTAACCCTTCATTCCAATAGTGCTACCACCGATTGCATCACAACAATAGCATCGAATAGGGCAATGATTTATGCCCTAGTCTTGACATCAGAAACAAGAGTTGAGATTACAGATATGTAGTCTTACGAAATGGCCACCAATAACTCAGTAAAAACACAAATGGAAGCATTGGAAATTAGAATTGAGAACCGGTTGCAAGAAATACTTAATGATTTCAAAAAGGACTTACTGGGGAGCCTTAGCAAATTTCAACAAGATGGGAGCTCAAGTTCTACGTTGCACATATATGAAAATATAGAAAAATGGCCCCAAGATTATGACACAAATTACTCACACATGAAGGTGGAATTTCCGAGATGGAAAGATGGAGATCTGACCAATTGGATCTCTAAGGTAGAAAATTTTTTCCGTTTTCACAGAACCCCAGAAGAATCCAAGGTAGAAGTGGCCTCAATCCAGCTCGAGGGAGATGCACTCCAGTGGTACGATTGGTATGAAACTGTCTACGGAGTTCCTTCATGGGAGAAGTTCAAAAGAGAGCTTCTTGTTCGATTTGGCCCATCCGAATATGAAAATATTGATGGCCAGCTCGTCAAAATTCGTCAAATTTCTACAATGTTGGAATATCAGAGTAGATTTGAAAGATTGTCAAATCAAGCTAGATATTGGTCGGAACGACAGCTTCTGGATACATTTATTAAAGGGCTTAATCCGGCGACTCGATGTGAAGTTAAAGCTCGTTAACCCCGCACCATGATAGCTGTGATTTCATTTGCACGCCTGCATGAGGAGAGATCAGCAAAGGGTTTGTACTATGATGAAAAGTGGAGTATGGAGCATCGATGTAAACAAGGGCAACTTCTGATGATTGAACTAATTGGAGAGGAACCGAAAGCTAAGAATGTGGACTCCGATCATGAAGGTATAAATTCTAATGAAGATGTTAGACCTACCATACATACTATGCATGCATTAGCCGACTACTCTAACCCGCAAACTATGGAACTTGGAGAAACTATGGAACATCAGCCTGTTATAGTTTTGATTGATACTGGTTGCACTAACAATTTTATAGATAGTGAGACTGTTGATCGATTGGCCCACCACATTAAAGACTATGACAGATTCGAAGTAAAGATCGTTGATGGACGAATTTTCACTTTTGATAGCAAAGGTTCAAAGATAAAATTGATTATACAGGGCCAGAAGTTTCTTGCAACGATTACTACACTGAAAGACCGACCTGTTGCTTACACTATCAAAAAGTGGAGACCATACTTACTTGATCAACGGGTTGTGATGCGTTGCAGATAGTCTATGGCTAAAGTGCTGAAAGAGAAGCTCCCCGAGATTGATGCTGCTTAGCCTTGAGGACAAGGCTGATTTGAAGAAGGAGGAACTGTTAGGACCCTTTTTCTAAGCTTTTGAATAATGTTTATCGAGTCTGTTTAGTTCAGTTGTTTATTGAATCGGTTTGGTTCAGTTAGAGTCAAGTAGAGGTTTATTTAATATTTATTTATTATTAGAGTTCAAGTCCTGATGGGCTCTAGGTGGAACTCTATAAATAGTGATGTAACCCTTTCTTTAAGGAATCAACCAATCAATGAAATGTTATTCCACTCTGTGGACAAACCCTAGAAAGTCGATCCCCTCGAAGTGATCAAGGAGGGCCGATCCCCTCGAAGCGATCAAGGAGGTCAATCCCCTCGAAGCGATCATTATCATCCCTATTTCTCCCCTTTCTTCCACGATAAGACTTTAAGGTATTATCAATTGGTATCAGAGTGACGATAAGACTTTAGAGTCTTATCATTTGGTATCAGAGCGACGATAAGACTTTAGGGTCTTATCATCAACAAGTTAAACAAGGTCCACATATCAATTATATTACCCTCACTTTTATCCATGAAACAGGTATCAAGGGCTTATATCTAAGGTGGTAAATATATAAAATTATGGTTCACCAAAAACCTTTCATTTAAGCATAAAAGAAAATGAAATAATACCAAAAGTACAAGAATAAGCAACAATAGTATTGCAGAATACACTGGCTTGCTTTATGAAAATTGGAGTCCAACATACCCATTTCGTAAATTTCAGATGCTTGAGAACCTCCTCGGTTTCCAGTTCCTGCAATTATATGAAAGAATAACTTAGGTCAAGGACCCAAAATGATAAACCATTAATTATATGGTACGAAGAAAGACATGCACTAAGGACGACAGGTTTGCTTTAAGGATAAAACACAAAGGGTAAAAGAGAAAGAAGCAATATAAATTCATATATGAGGGCAGGCTTCTACAAGTTGGACATAATAAATGCCCAATGTGTCACTTGAGCTGGAACTTCTATGTGCCCATACACATGGAAGTTTTGATGGTAGAGACAATATGGTTGATAAAAGGCAAGAAGCCTCACTTTGCCTTTATTGTTTATCCTCAAAATGATAATTTAAATATTTTTAAATAAAAAAAATAAAAAGCTTAGTTTATTACTAAAAGGCCCACGGGCAAGCTAGCAATGTCACAAAACAGGCAGGTCCAAAAACAGACAATGTCACAAACTAATAGTGCAGTCTTTCAAGCAAAGCTTCAAAAGAACAAGAGTCAATTTGCAGAACGAATAAAAAAAAGTTATATAACAGAATTACTACTTTGAAGCCAATCTTCAATTGATGCCTTCAGAAACCAATATCTTTCCATTCAGATGATAAGAATCTTACCAAGTTGGTACGAATCATAGCATACTTGGAAGTTGAAGTATTGTAAAGAGGCATAAATTTACACAACCATCAAGAAAACAAATAACAGATACAAGAATGTAAAAACTGAAGTAGCGTGAATAAAAATAAACACAGTCACCTGTGGAACAGCACAATCAGCATGAAATGGATCCCAGAGAACAGAACAAGAGCAATCCCAATCTTCACTTTGAACCACAAAAAGAGGTGCCCTGCAATGTAAATTGAGATTTTATTTCCTCAGCTATTTCAGAGATCATGCAAGAAACACCTAAACAGAAGAATGTAAAAGGGTTTTTAAGGCAAAATTATAAAATCTAGAAGTAACTAGGAATATAAAGCCTTTCTCTTTTGGTTAAAGATAAATAGTTACTTTTGATTTGCAATTTTCAAATACATATATGGAGGAAATAACATGAACACAAACATGAAACTAACATCTAATGGACCAGTTAAATGTGATTTTGATACTGTAAGTGCACTAAGAGACACAAAAATGATTAATATGATATAAAAGCAAGTGTAGTAGTATCACGACGAAGTTGCAAAGTCAAACCAGGATTTTTAATACCGTTCCGTACTGCCCGGTATGGGCAGTACATACCGGTCCACCGGCTGACCGGCACACGAACCGCCAGCTACCAGGCGGTATCAGCCTAGTTGCGGCGAGGTGAGGAAGAAGAGTGTGTTCGAAGAAGAGGGAGAAGCATCGAAACAAAGGGAGAAGCATCGAGAAAGAGAAGCGTCAAGAAAGAGTACTGCGGGGTCACCGATGCGCCGTCACCAGCGTCTCGATGAACCTAAGCCCGTCGAACCTCGATGCGAACTTGCCTTCCACGCCCTTTCTTGATCCCAATCCGGCGCCGCCCTCCCTCGACGATCCCAATCCATGAGGTAACTGCAAGGAGAGTCGTACCTCTTTGGAGGGAGAGCTGGAGGCGCGGGGATCAGGGGAGGCGACCACGAGAGTAATGGAAGAGGCGACCGCGAGAAAGGCGACGAAGACCCTAACCTTCTTCATCTCTAAACGGTCTCCTTCGTCCACTGTCGCCGCACGGAGAACCTTCCAATGTCAATGTCATCTTTCTTCTCCCCACCATAATGTCGAAGGCCGCAGACGACACGACGAGGAGAAGGACGAGGCGACCGCTCGGTATGCCATATCTTCTTTATATCTTTATATCTTTTTTATATAAAAAAATATATATCTTATATCTTTTTTTATATATTAATTATATATTTATATATTTAATATCGTTCGGTACTAAAATTGATTTGTATTTTTTTTCTAGGCATACTGCTCAGTATGTCGTACCGTACTGAGCAACCGATACGATACGAAATTTTAATCCTCAAGTCATACAATATAGATTCACATGATTACAAGGTAGTTATTAAGACAAAAAGGAGTTCCAAATTATTAAGACAAAGAAACACTCAGGAATGGATAAAATCATAAAAATATCCGGTGGAGATTTATTGTCATGTGAATATAACAATTAGGAGTTCCCGTTACATTCAACATTAGTTATCTCAATCGCCATCGACAACAAGTCACAATGTCTCAAATATTTATGGTCAATTATATGAATCTTTTTTTAATTGTCAAAGTAAAAACAATCAAATCTTTGTTTAAGGTTTCTAATAATTTTTTTTATATCTTAGTTTCTCTCTCCTCGCACCAGTAGTCATTACCTCATCAAACTACGCTTCTACAAGTCTTCTTTAGATACTTCCATATTTTTCTAATAATTTTCAATCATCTTATATTTTTGTTGGAACTATGCCTAATATTCACAAATGTAAACATTTATAAACTATTTTTCAGATATTTCAAACATGCACCACAACAATATTAATTTACTGTATGCATTTCCTCATAATTGACCAAAATTGTGACCTTTAAATCATTACTAACCTTACAACTGACCTATACAAATTTCCTTATTAACTTGGAGAAAATTCTTATAACCCTCTCCAATTTAACCATCTCATTTAACTTAATATGTAGTCTCTTCATCCATATACTCTTCCCAGTTAGTAAATCTATCACATTTAAAACTTGTAGGAATTTTTCATTTATTTGTCTTAATTATCCTCTCATGTTTTCTTGGCATTGCTAAAGTCACACAACTCCTACATACCGTAGAATCTGTAGTTTTTAGCTCCCATTAATCGAACCTATATCATCAACAAATAACATATATCATGAAACTTTATCTTGGTGAAAAGATAAAACCTCAAAGCAAAATCATTATACACCTGTAGCTACTGGAGAACTGGCAGACGTTCTCCTGAAGTCCTGACACTAGCATAAAGGAAAGTAGGAAACAAGTAAAAAAATCACCTGCGCCATTTTCCACAGACAATCCCCTCATCAGATCCATCTGAGCACAAAACCTCCCTGCACTGGACCCAATTACCAATGCTGCTTGGTTTCTGTGGCTTTCCATCAGTCCATCCCTAATAATGACGTGGGACACGTTGTGCAAATTAGTCTTCGAAAGTACCAAATATATGATTATCAAGACTAGATCTTTATGACTTACATTCAAGTTTACTGAATGGGCAGAATCTATTTCAGAGGGTTCATCAAAATAATCATCTTCACTGCATTAAAAACAAAGCATCAGAAAATAATGCTGATCAAGGCTTAAAACTTGTCCTCTCTAGCTTCAGTTTGTGGTCCAAGTCATCTAAACACCATTTGCACAACAATGCATGGAGTATCTTTTTGGTGATATAACGAAATGAACGAAGAAAAAAAAAACATGAAGCTAAGAAAATTCAAATCAAGCAATGTGGTCAATTCCTTGACATAATGCATTTGAAGCACAAAAGCATACAGAAGACAATAATATTTGATCATATCAAGCAGCAAAGTCACTGGGCACCTGAGCGCTTGCCTAGGCACTTGGGCGAGGTGAGGCCCGAGCACCCGCCTATTAGGCTAGGTGGGCATCTTCACTCAAGCATGGCCCAAGCGCTCGCCTGGGCCCAGGTACTGGGTAGGCCAAATGCTTGCCTTGTTCAACTCATGCTACGTTGATCCTGAGTTAAACTAAACAATTCTATCTGGTTTGATTGAACCAATTATCCATCGAGCCTAAGTCAAACCAAACACAAGACAACTAGTTTGATTGAACCAGTTATCTATCATAGAAAGCAAGAAACCACGTGCGAGAAGAATCCTAATGCAAAAACCCTCTTTCGCAATGCATTCCTACATGGCAATGGAGTTCCTCCCATCGACAAATGACAACAGTAGCCTTCTTCCCTGGCAGTGTCTTCCTCCAGCAGCAACAGCAACGTCTTCCTTCGATGGTCGCGACAACGTCTTCCTCTGCCAACAACGACTTCTTATGTTCACCGCAGCCCTCTTATGTTCACCACAGCTCCCCAATCCCTCCCCCCTCCCTCTAGAAACCATGTGAGAGTGAACAACGACAATAGCCTTCTTTCCCAGCGATGACTTCCTCCAGCGACAGCGGACGTCTTCCTCCGACGATGGCGGCAACATCTTCCTCTGGCGGCAACGATGACTTCTTCCCCTCCCTCCCAGTATATCTCTCTTCTTCTCCTCCCTCCTACCTTTGCCTCATTCACCGCAGCCCCCTCATCCCAAAGCGCCCCCCCCCTTTCCCCTCCCTCTTTGCCATTCACCGCTGCGACTTTATTATTGTTTGTCAATTTAAACTTAGATCAGTTGCCTGCTTTGTTGTTTGTCTATGTTTGTGAGAACAACAACTGCCTATTATAATGAACAGCAATTGCCTTCTGCGCTTAGTAAATCAATAGTAAAATGTCGATTATAATATTTAGGAGCACCTCTATTTTTCTTGGGCAAGCGCCTAATGCCAAAGGCATTTTGGGACCATAGCGCCTAGCGCTTTTGACTACACAGATATCAAGGCATAAAAACACAATTTGTATCAGATTTTTTGTCAGAATCATATACTTGTGATAAGGACACTGCACGCTAGTAGTGTTTTCTTCACAAACCATGAATGGATAAAAGGTAAACACTTTGACAATTGTGGAGCTTGAGCTTATTCATCTAGCTAAAGATAGAGTCAACCTTTAAGCCTACTTTATTGCTTCATCAAGCTTCAAAAGTATTAAGCAAAAAAACATGGTTATTTTGGCATTCTTCAGCTATCAAACTTTTGCAAGTCTAGTTTTACTGAGTACTTTTGCATGCTAGTAGTGTTTTCTTCACAAACTATGAATGGATAATGGGTAAATACTTTGACAATTGTCAAGCTTATTCATCTAGCTAAAGATAGAGTCAACCTTTAAGCCTACTTTATTTCTTCATCAAACTTCAAGAACCAAAACTATTAAGCAAAAAAACATGGTTATTTTGGCTTTCTTCAGCTATCAAACTTTTGCAAGTCTAGTTAGTGAACTACTTACTGAGTACTGAGTGCCATTGATCAGGTCTTAAAGAATAACATAAGAAAAATCCAAAATATGGCTGATACAAAATTCAACATGTTAGGAAGAGGTTGAAAAACTTGGAAGATAAGAGGAACCAAATATCATACTTGGAAACTGGACCAGAGCAGTCAGGAACTTCTACTTGAAAATCTTTACCAATTCGAGCTCCAGATGTATAAGGTTTATTGTCTGTCAACATGAATGATATAGAATATCCTCTGCAAGAGATTCGATTTGTATGATTGGAGTTTTCTCCTTCGGTATCATGTGACTGACTTAATAAAGGCTTTGGTTTCTTTTTGAAGCAGGGCTGACAATACCATTCATCCACAGGAAGCTTTTTTACTCTAGGAATGCAACAGGACGGATGATATGCTTCTTCACAGTGGTCACAAATTAACATCTTCAATGGATCATCAAACAGCCTGCATGCTTTGCATTTTTGAGAAAGATTCGTACTGCCATCACAGAGACTTTCTGAAGCAGCATAGTTGCTGCTAGCACATGATTTCCCTAGAAGTCCATGAGTTTTAAGCACATAGATGCAGAGTTCCCTTGCTGATGCAAATTCACCCACCAGTTCCATGACATTAGATGAGGAACACTCACCAGTATCCTCTATATCTATTTTGAGGAAAGTTGAAGTAAGTTCCACATTAGATTTTGATGATGAACACCCGTCATTTACATTACAGCGATGCTCAAATGCAGATTTGGAAATCTTCCCATCAGATGCTTTGGATGGTACTTCAAATTTCCCAACAGAACATATACCACAGAGCCCTGAACTTGGAACTGACTCAACATCTGCGGTAACAATGTCAACAGTCTCTCTCTCAAAATCAGCTTTCCGAATTCCCAAAAGGTAATCCTCAGAACAACTGCAGGACTCAGAACTAAATTTTCTTTTTCTACTTTCCATAGTATATTCTTCAGGGAGAAGAGCAACTGAGTTCCTATTTAACTTCCTTCTCTTGTAGACAAACTGTTCACTCTGATGCCTCAAACTCGAGCACATGCCATTGACAGTTGATACATCCGTCCAGCTTCTTGATGAAACTACAATCTCATTTGGTGATGGTTCATATTTTTCCTTCTCAGTATAAATGGAATTTCTGAAGCTATTCCAATGGCATTCTTCATGTTTTGGAGACATTTGATCTCCTTCAACACTCTGTGACCACCCCAAGATTTTAATATTGATGTATTTTCATTGGATGCATTAAAATAATAGGCAATGGTCATATAACTAGGATGAGGATCAAGGACAGCCTTGCAGCTGGCATGCCTTATACAAGTACTAACCCAGCAGAGTCAGGCAAGGGCATGTGCCAAAGGCATGTTAGTAACAACCCAAAGAATTAGGGTGGGCACACCCTCAGCACAGCACTTTGCCTGAACTCTACCATATCAGTACAAGAAAAAGAATCTAAATTGTAATATTTCCAATTAGATCACAACTTATTAAAATTTGTTCCAGAAAAAACATGAAAGCCAGTCCTGCAAAATGTTTCTTGGAACATGAAATTGCAAAAGGTCAACTGAAAAATTGTAACATGACCCTGTGTATAAAATAAATAGGTCTACACATGTACACAATATAAACATACATGTAATTTGAATATGTACACACAGATAGACAGACAAACAGACATCAGGACAAGGAAATAGCACTAATTTAAAAAGGTATGGACCTCACCATACGTATGTTAAGACTGTGGCTTAAAAGAGATACATGCATCTAGTGTAAATACAGGAATTAAGAGTCCCATATCCTAGTAAACATTTAAACACCCTTACATTGATTAAAAAAAGTTATTTTTTTAATGATTCCCATTCAAGTGTCATAGCAATTAATTTATTATCCAATCCGGGAAGTCAAATGCTATTAACATAGATTTCACCTTTGACACCAGAAAAGGATTTGATTTTATACTGTCCATCAATATGTTCAATAGGTCCCTACTTGTCTATGTAATACATAATGATCTTACAACCAAGAACAACCAAAATATTTCATGAGTAAGGAAACATGATTTAAAGAAGAGGATGGTAGGAAACAAACCCATCCAGTGTTATTAAGAGCATCGATTGATGTTTCACCAGAATCGGTATGAGACGGGTGGTACATACCAGTCCAGGTGTGAACTGGTACACGATCCGCCTCTATTACCAGCCAATCAGGTTCAGACCATTAAAAAAATATTTTAAAATAGATATTATGGCTCGCATTCATGTAGGTACGCTTCCTCCTCTTCTCCTCGTCCTCTTCCTCCTGCTGCTCTTCCTCCACTGCATCCTCCCCTTCTTCATCTTCCTCCTTGCTCCTTTTTCTCCGTCGTCTCCTCTTCTTCGTTTCTCTTCCTCCTCTTCCTTCTTTCTCCTTTCTCCTTCTCTTCCTCCACTCCATCATCTTCTTCTCATTCTTCACCGTCTTCGAAATGTCGATATATCATGTGTCAATACACCAATCACACAGACCAGCCAAGAATCTTCCAATATGCAAAACGATAATCCTTGATTGAGAGGTGCTCAGGCAGGCGAGGGGAGGCCCAAGCATCTCAAATCAACCTGAGCGAAGCCCTTGGGCTTGGGCACCGCAACTCTTTCACCTTCCATAACTCTTCTTTGGGCATCCTTAGTCTTCTTTGTTGCCATAGATCTCTTTCGTCACCCTTTCCATCATTGGGTCTCGATCACCCATTTTTTGTTGGGTTCCCGTCGTCCTTTCCATCACCAAAAAAACTATTGCCCTCTTAACACGCTCTCCATCGCCACAAACATCGCAATATACCTCTTCCTAATTCATCTTAAATAGTTTGTCTACAATCAATAGTTGGTTTCCCTTTTCTCTTGCTAGGCCAAATCCTTAATCATATTTTTTACAACTTTTATATCTGTGAGCACCACCTAGCTTCGCTCGAACAAGCGCCTAGCGTCTCAAGCATTTTGAAACCTTGACACCTTTAGCACCACCTTTGATAACATTGACCCTACCTCCATCCCCACCCTTCTCCCAAAAAAGAAGAGACACAAAAATAGAGTATGGGTACATGGAAGGACATAAGAGGGTTAGAATTTGGATATGATCATATTCAGGGAAAACCTAAATGTCTAATTGAATACACCAAAGTTTAATGGTTGGTTAATGAGACTACTAATTTACTGTTGTGTGTGAGAGAGAATAAAAAAATCATATGTTATAAACCACACAGCAAGAAGATGGTACCACACTATTAAACAAAAGTAAAGAGAAGAAAATGTTTGGTGACAATTTATGTGACATATGTGGTACCAAAGTTTTGGTACCACATGTGCAACAAAAACAAAACTAAACTAAACACTAACCTCAAACAATTGATACCAAATTTTATAGGAGGAAAGAGAATAGATTAGAGGGGAAGAACAAGAGGGAAGAAAAGGTACTGATGATAATTTATGTGGCATATGTGGTTTGGTGAATAGATTGCACTGCATATACCATATGCTGAAGCAGGATGCAGCAATCCATATGATCGGATATCATATGACACAGTGGCCGCATAAAGCCACATGTGGCCACACGAGCTCGTAAGGCCACACAGTCTGCATGATGACCAATGGTTTAAAATATATAACGGGTTTTTATGTTTCTGCATAAGATATTTCCATTTGATATAATATATAGAAACCTTTCCGACCATGTGCATTTTTCAACAACCAACAATTAAGATTTACAAATTTATCTAAGACTACTTATGTTGTAAAGAAGCAAAAAAAATTCTTTAGTAGTCTTTTATCAGTGTTTCATATATTGGCATGTAACTTGCATTACTGTGAATGCATGTGTCAAGCTAGGCTGTCATCTATACATAAAGTGTGATTACATTGGTCACATTTGTTCTGATATAAGTTTGTCAAGCTATGCTATCACCTATAAAACAAGTGTATAAACACTGCTTATGATATATTTCATTAGTCACTTTTATTTCTTCTAATATTAAAAACTGTATATATTTTAACAAGGAATCTGCAAGTGTTTGCATATGCATGTGTACAATGCATATGCATTATCATTGACATGACAGCCTGTATAGCACTTTTCCTTTTTAGAATGTGATATTGACACCACATGGAGTGGCATGAAAATTCAAATCTATGCTCTAACCTGAATTTGAATTCATCGCAAATATAAAATATACAATAGGATCAGAAAACAAAGGTGAAGGTAAGAAGATTGATTAGAAAAGGTACACTAGCAACTTGTGAAAAATAAAAAAAATGACATATCCAGTGCACGAGACTCGTGCCAATGTGGGGTCAGAGGAGCAAGGTTCGTCATACCGCAGCGTATCGCTCAATACGACGATACATACTGGTCCGACAGAAGACCGATATGGGTGATACATCGATATGTCCTCATGTATCATGTGTTAGTATGCTCAGTACAGTTCAGTACATACCGTACCGACAGCTGGTTGATACACTGATACAGACCGGCAAGACGAACTATGTTGGGTAGAATCAATATACGTAGCCTTACCTTTAAATATTTAAAGAGACTATTTCCAAGACTTAAACCCTAGTCTCTCAAGTTGCAGAAGAGCAACCTTACCGTTGTACCAAGGCCCACCCTAAAAAATACACATCAAAAAACAAGGATGGAAACTAAGGTCATCCATCTTAAAGAAACATCAACATGGGTTTATTTATATGCAAGTTTAAATAATTCAAATACTGTTGAAACTTAGAACCAGAGTTAGCTACATCAGCCAATTTTGATTCAATGCAGTTGATCCATATCAGTATAATCCAAAACTGATTAGATTTTGGTTGATTTCTAAGTCTCATGATAAAAAAACTAGTTGAAATCAGATAGAATCAATCAAATTTGGTCTACTTTGGCCAATTCTAAGCAATCTAATAGCCTCAAAAGGAAAAAAATTAGTCAAGGTGGAGAACACATAAAAGATACTGAAGCTTAGAAAAGCAAAACATAAAAGGATGTCGCTACTTTTCTATTTGTTATTCACTTCACCACCACTATTTCACCATTACTGCAATATTCATCTCGAGTAAAACAAAGATGTGGAGATGCCATCCAATTTATGATAATTGCAGTGATTTATAAAGCGCTAGGCGCCAAAAGGCGCCAAGATCCAAAAACGCCCGAGGCGCTAAGCGCTCGCCCAGGCGCTCGCCCGAGCGAAGCAAGGGCGCTAAAATATAAAAATATATAATATAATTAATAAATATAATTATTTAAATAAAAAAATATGCTATTAAATTAAGAAAAAAAGGTACAGAATCATAATAGTATATTTTTTATTTTTTTAAATAAAAAATATACTAATAAAAAATAAAAATTAATAGTATTAAAATTAAAATAATATATTATTAATCTAATAAATAAAAATACTATTATTAGTATACAATTAGCAGTATACTATTAATATACTGTTAATAGTATAGTGAGAAGAGTGTGAGAAGACCGAGGCTGTTGAGGCAACGACAACGGTAGCAAGCGACAGCCATAGCGGGAGCGGGAGCAAGAGCGACGAGCGGCGACGACAGCGGGAGCGGCGAGCGACAGCGGGAGTGGGAGCTGCGAGCGGCGAGCGGCAACGGGAGCGACGACAGCAGCGGCGAGCGATGACAGCAACGGCGAGCAGTCGGCAAGCAGCGATTGTGGCAACGGCGAGTGGCGAGCGACAACATGAGTGGGAGCGAGAGCTGCGAGCGGCAGAGGGAGCTACGAGCGACAACGGGAGTGGCGACAGCAACGACGAGCAGCAATTATGGCAGCGGCGAGCAGTTGGCAAGCAACGATTGTCGCAGCAACGAGTAGCGACAGTAGCGGCGAGCAGCAACAGTAGCGGCGAGCAGCGACAATAAAGAAGAAATCTCAACAGCAAAATCACGAGTGCTAGGGTTGGGGAAGTCGGAGAAATCGCGAGAGGGAGCTTGATATCGGTGATTTAGTTGGTTTGATTGAACCAACTAAAGCACCGGAGACCAACCAGACCTAAAAATCTGGTTCGGTCGCCTGGTTTAACCCAGGCGCTTGTCCGAAGTGCCCGGCGCCCAAGCTCGGGCGAGCGCCTAGGCGGCGCCTCTTTGAAGCGAGGCACCCGAACATGAAGCGAGGCGCTCGGGCCTGGCCTCGCCTCACCCGAGCGCCTAAGCAAGCGCCCGAGCAGCTATTGAAATCACTTATCATTATTATTATTATTATTATCTACGATCAGCAAGTATCTTTCACTGTATAGTGATTGAGAAGCATAAAGGTTATAGTGTGGCTCACCACCTATCTTCAAAGTTTTGTGTGAAAAATTATCTTAGTCTGTTAAATGATATTTATATAATAGTTATTTACTGCATTATTATATTTGTATGATATGATTAATATTTATTTTCTAATAATATAAAGAGCACACCAAAGTGTAAGACTTTTGCTAATTTGGGCTCGAGAAGAGAAAATATATTGGGTCTTATCATTGCACAGAGGAAATTTGTTTCCATGACTTGAATCCCGATCGCTCAGGTTGCAAGGAAATAATCTCGCTATGATGATAAGGCTCATTCTTTGTTGATTAATTTCTACCAAGTTATTCTATTATTTGTATTAGTGTCATGTATATAATGTTTTATCTCTACATTTCAATCCTATGTGTTCTCTTGGAAAGTTAAAAATATTGTAATAAACATTAAAAAAATAGCATATGATATTATATATTTTCTCAAATTTAATACATAATTTTAAATATTTGAAATTATTTTTAATTGTACTTTTTATTGTTTTCAATTATTTTTTTTTAACTCATTGACCTGATTTGACGATCATGTCAATCCCCATCGTCCATAATACAAACTATAACTAGAATTATGGATAAATAAATGCTCAATTTTATCTTTTTTTCAATCCAAACTCAACTAAGACTCCCTAAAGATATGATAGTCTCCTAATCTTGTCAAAAATTAAAGTAAGATAAGACCTACTCAACACAAGAAAAACATCCCAAAATTAGTAAATAACTGTTTGAAGAAACTTCAAAATTAACAATCTAATCTATGCCAAAGTAACCAAGCTAGAAACAAAATTTTAAGTAAAAGTTAACTCATCCTCGGCGGGATGCATCAATTCGCTTCAATAACACAGTACAAGATCAAGACGTGAACTTTTATCATCGAAAAGCTTTAATTCTTTAGCTTTTACATTGAAACTAATCATGGATTGACTTTTGACATAAATGTTGTTGTAGGTTTCCCTTCGAATTACAGTAATATGAAACCAACCATATAAATATCATAGTCCCCAGAAAGAGAACCCTAAAAGAAAACTAGAAATCTTAGCACGATGTGCATATCTAGAGAGTATTTCAAAGGATTCATGATGTGCATATCTACTACATTACAAGCTTAAAATCTTAGCAACCATCCCTATTTATGATCTAATTTACAGCCCTCTTTGGTAATCTAACCAGAAATCTTCACCATGAACTACAGAACCTAGTACAAAAAATAAGCATCGGCAAGACCCTCAATTCAAAGTTCAAACAACTCAGTGCCAAACATGTATCACAGACAAATCATGGCATCAAGAAACACCCAAACAATCATCCAAGAAAGAGAATCTTACGCCGACAAATAACCGCACATCTGAAAACTATGTCAGCGAAGAAGCAAATTCTGCACATCAGACTAGGTATTCATCGCATGTGCAACAATTACAAGCAACAAATTGGATGCGTGAATCGGGTTTACCGAAGCTACAGGGAAGCCCTCCGGAGGAGACAGAACCCTAATCTAATCTCTCCTTGGAACTGACAGAAGTGTCCTACCCATTCAGGTCTCAAGACTTAAATAGTTGGGGAAACCAAAACAAAGATGAGATCTTTTAGATACTCAGTACGCTTCCGTTGTTTGCCACCGTTAGATCGAGGCTGTTTTCAAAACTATGGGTCAAATTCGTCGCAGGAAAATTATAGGGTATGATGTTCCTCACCATTTTGAGGGAGAATCTGGACCGTCCGATCGATTGGAGACCCGTGCATGGGGATGAGAGATTCCATTGCCAAGATTTGATGTTCTTCATATCTGTGTCTATCTGATCAAATTCAGGATAAATACTGATTGAAGCACAAGTATTATTTGAGTCAAACTCTGAAATAAGTTTACTTAGTTACTCAATAATATATATATATATTATTGAGTAATATATATATATATATATATATATATATATATATAGGAATAAGGAAGAGTGCTGAATCCTAGTCAGAGAAAGACTCGTAGTTTGTGTGATGGGTGATTGAAAGCAACACAAATTTCTGTTGTTTGAGTTTTATGATCCAGATATGATATCCTTCCTATTTATGTATCTGGATCTGCATCCCCATGAATTTGTATTTGTCTATTTACAAACTTGCAGCTGCATGAAACAAACCATATCCAAATCCAATCAGTTCTTTTCCATTCTATCCCATCAATGCATGAGTATGGCAGCAATGTTGTCTGGATTTTGCCTTGAAGCCAGAATCCAGGTGAGTTGCTTGTTCTTGGATCTTTGCACCTCAAAGATGCAGGGTGGGTGATGAAAAGTTTTGTGCTTGGCCTAATCAGATTGGGCAACACTGTTCACTTTTCATGGGTGAGCCAATCCACCTGAAAGGTAGATCATGCTTTTGTACTGGAATGGATGCTTCAATGCTCATGCTTGATGGCACTGCCTGAGAGTACCCCCCAATCTGCAACAAGCAATCATGTTCAGCAATGTTATAACTGGCAGAGTTCCACTAGATGCAGAATCACACAGAGGTGGATGACTTCCCTGCAAAAGCATTTGAGAGCTTTGTTGAATAGGTCTGATATCAAGAATAATGTATCAGGCACATTCTTGATGATTGAAATCAAGACTTGCTTTAGGAGCATCCTTTAGAATCCACAAAAATGTCTTAGCTGCATGCACTCACATCAGCACTAATGCCTTCTCGTGATCGCCTTTTAATTTCTTGAACTTGAAAAGAAGGAAGAGATTAGTTTAAGTTGAAGGTCATGGTAAAAGTACATAACTGATATATCACTCTTTGATGTGTCAAACAAACTCCATGATAAAGATAACTTTGGTGCAAAACCATGGCTTCAACTACAATTCACTGTGAGAGGGAACAATTTATGACATACATATGGATATCCTGTCAATTGAAGTTCTCAAGGATTTGTCTTCGATCATAACTCGAAACACATGTTTTCATCACCATCAGGTTTCTTATATGCAAAAGCACATTTTAACCATGACCAATGTGATTCTTTTTTCCATAATTTGGTTTGCTTGTTGCCATTATATTCAAGCCCAGTGCCTTTTTTCGATCTAGATTGCACAGTGAGTGACTGCTTAAAGCGAAAGAAAGGTGTTTTTAGCTATTAGAATGAGAGAATTCAGAGTGTTCACTTCAATGGAACTGCCTGTGAGTAACCCAACACATTTCAATCAAGTCCACGGAAAGTGCAAGATGCATGTCAAATTTAGAATCACTACACGATTAAGATGAGAGTTTGAAGCAATTCTAAATCTTTCACAATTCCATTCTGCAGTAGATATCTTTTTCATGATTTGGTTGCGTATCGGTGGGAGGATCCATTTCTTTCTAGGAATCGATTGAAGTAGCCTCATCTCATGTTTCTCAGTAACCAATATTGTCTTCCACTTCTCCAAATTTTCACTGATTTGTTTCTGTCTACAGGTTTGCATGGACCAGAGTATGAAAGTTTCTAATCATAATTGATCTCTGACAGATGTTGGCATGGTTGAAGTGGAAAGAAGAAGACAACCGAAGATTTTGGCACGGATTAGGTAGATATTTTACTTTCATTTAATTAATCTTTGGAACTCATCACTTGATCCCGATGCCATCTTTCATCTCACTCTTATCTGTTCCTTTCTCAACTTTAACAAAATCAAACATGCCTTGATTTCAGATTCTTGATTCATATTGTGGTTCTATATGTCGAACTTTAAAATGGTCTTCACCTCAATGAGTAGACGCCATACTCCGCCTTGGATTATTAGGACAGCATTCCATGATAGCAAAAGGAACTATATTTTTAAGCTGCATAATTTCATTTACTGACTTGAACATAAAAGGATCCTAAGCCTGCCATGGCTCTCCTTATGCTATTTCCGATCATATTATCTTGTCAATTTACCATGGTGGCCAAAAAACTATGTTCCTCTCAAGCTTCAACTGCCGATTATATTTTTTGAACTTGGCATGTCTCCAGATTTATCGATAATATCTATCTAGGCTAACCATCTCAGTACTCTAATTTATACAGTAACAAAGCATCAAAACAATATCATATTACTACACATCTTGTCAGACGTGCATCTAACAAGAGAGACAAAAAATAAAAACAAAATTAAAAACAAAAGTCCTTTTATGATCGAGTCATTCCAAGGTTGCTACTTTGTGCCATGGTGAGCAAGCTGGGTGCCATGCCTAGATTGATCCTCTGCAACATAGAGTTGGAAGTCACCTGATTTTGAGTGTAATGTTGTGTATGTTGATCCTCTTCAAAACCTGCATTTACAGGAGCCTCATGCGCTAGGTCGCCTTTCTTTATCAAAACTCACCTTTCAGCAAAAGCAACCTGATACAAAACTTTAACTAATCAGAAAAGGTTGGTCCAGAATAGCTGCCATAGTTGCATTAAACAGAAAATGAAACAATGGATTGTTGCAAAATATTTGTTATTTGATGCCTTTTGTGTATGACAATTCATGAGCAATTCTATTATCGTGTTCATTCGTTAGTCTGTCCTGAAACATTGATGTGCAAATGATCTGTCACATTAACTAATAGCTCATTTTCTCTTTACAGCCATGACAAGGACCGGACTCTGGTTAGTTTGCTGCAGAAATTGTTGTAGCATTTTTTTGGATGATATTATATATGAAACGATTAGAAGTATCAGAAAGCATATTTCCATGATGTCATTTGAGGCAAAATATTGGGCCAAATATTTTCCATTTGCACCCCTCCCCCAAAATTATAGATAATATGCATTCGTATAAGAATAGGATGAAGGTCAAACAGTAAGATCATAACCAAAAAAAAAATCTTGCCTACCCTTTTCAACAATTTGAAAATTCAGATTATATGAAAAGCTGAATGTTTATGTTAACCAGATCTCAAGTCATGCAGATATGTAGTCATACTCAGCTTTTGCTTTGCTTTCTAATAACATGTGAGAATGAAAGAAAAAAACAGAAAAATTGAGTCGAATATAGTAACATGTGCTATTTATTCAAATGGAGTAGGTTTTTGTTGATTCCCATGAACTATTGGATGGTAGTCGTTTTCCGATGTGCTGTGTGCAATTTTGTTTTACTGAACTAATCCTTTTCATTAATTAGGAATTTAGGATGCCGATATACAGCTATATTATTTAGTTACTGATTCTTATGAACTAGGATAAAAACTAATTCTAACTTCTCAAATCCTGATACACAATGATACTCATTTTAGAGAATTTACAGAGTAGCATTGCAGATATCATCAGAAACTACAGTAATCAAGCAAAAAAACTGTGAGACAAATGAATTTAAAATTTTGTATCAGGAAATATTGCTTTCAGAGCAGCATATTTGTAGCTCCACTTCAAACCATTTACCTTGGCCATTGGCTAGGTATCTGTGTCAAGATCAATCATGTGGATAGAGAGAGCCTGAGTAGATTTTGCATTACTCTTTCCTACTCATCATGAAACCCTCAAGTGAGAGATCTTTTGAGTGTGGTCATAGCTAGGCCTACCTCAATAAACAAATATGCCCCAATTGTAACCCATCAGGTCATCATTCATCTCAAAACTTTGCTGTTATGCATTATCTTAATCCCTTCACCCTTCTCCTTCCTCCTCTTCTAGAAGAAATCTACAGAAACCTTTTCTTCAGTTTTTTGTCTTCCTAGAGTGTGCACATTCAATTTGCTTCCAAGCCACCAAAGTAATTGGAGTGCCTTATGAATCAAAAAAACATTGGCCAATGATTAACAAATATCTCTTTCCATTGAGTTGCATGCTTCAATACATTACATGTGCTAGAAGAATATATGTGGAACAATATACACACAAATCATCAGTACCTCATCTCTCACACAACACATTGGAGACAGTCATCAGTGGAAAAATATCCACAAGTTCCTAGCTGATCAGGAACCTTTCCACCTCTTCTATGTCATAGTTTCAACCTCAAGCAAAGAGGACAAGTGTGACTGTGTTCCACCTGCCATGATTGACCTTATTGTACAAGCAGCAGTGTTGTCTGTGATGGAAGTTCATGTAGATAAAATTGTGTGCTTTCCACAAGAAACCTTAAAGTACAATCTGAAGTCGTATGATTAATCTACCAAAGATTTAGTTGCTATTACACAGTAACAGAGAGAACAGCCTTCTGATTGTTCAACCACTGGCACTACTCTCTGATGCTTGAACCACCAAACACCTTCCAATTTCCAATTCTTCCAAGTATACATGAGCTGTGCTATGCAACTTAGAGCTGATATCATCCGTTAGATATAGTATCAATGGATTCCAAAATCTCCAGTATGAGAACAGATCAAAGCTACCGAATCCTGCAACAGCCCTTCGATTCACAGCTTTGTTACCATGTCATTATCAGGTTGGATTCGAGGAACAGCAGTGGTGAAGAGGGGAATAATGTGACATGAAACCTAATGTGGCAGGCAGATATCCTCTATCGCATGGAGTGATATCTAAGCAAACCATTACTTGCTGCAAGGGAAATAATAATTTTGTTGACCATGATATGACAGAGCTACATAGCTTCATTGTTGGGTTGTTGCATTGGCTACAACACATACCTTGTTCATCATATTTGACCATTCCTCTCCTTTAACTTTGTAAGGCCTCAAATAGAATCAAAATCTAATAAACATATCTCTCTTTTCTTTCTTCTAAGGGATTTGATTTGCACCACTCCACAGTGCTTACAGAATGGATGTTCTTCTTATAATGTGCTTGCCAACAACATCAATGGAGTGATGAGCAAGTTTGATTTATCTTGAAAACAAAGGCAGAGCTTGTCGAGTGTGGGACACCTCTTGATGACAAATTAGGTGCAAGCACCAAAGCCATGTGGAGCAGATGGTCCACCCCTTCATCAACCATGTGATGATGACATGGGAGTATTGATGTCTTGGAAACACCTCATTCCTGTTGGTGGATCACATTGCCAATATGAGCCAAAATTGCAGACATTACAAGTGACCAAGGATTAAAATAATAGGTAACATGCTTGAGATGAACTTTGTAGCCTATTATTATCTATCCTTCAGACCATCCACTGTCATAAAATCTCATGCATTCAAACTCAACCATCTCCAAGACCTAAAATTATGGTACCTCTGTCATGCAAGTAGTAGTTCTAAGGGGAGTGAAGGAATATTATTATTATCAAGTTTGCTGAGGTTTGAACACAAAAAATGTCCATTGGAATTAGAGTTGGTAGGTGCAGAATTGTTGAAGATTTTTAATCAGCCTGTGAACACAGCAAAAAAAAAAGGTTAGATTAAATATTTGGAATAATATCATGATGTGCAGCACCAAGAACAAGAAAGATGCAATCCAGAAACAGTGGTTGAGTAAAAATGTTGTGAATCACACATCAAGAAATAAAAGGTTTATGTTTTACAATGAGTCCAAAAAAATCTTTTCAAAATTTGAAATTTAGGGTTATAATAGTCATTTGCAGGGTAAAAAAAAAGAAAAAGGAAAATAAATTCAGAAGAGAGAGAGAGAGAGAGAGAGAGAGAGAGAGAG